AGTAGCTCAGGCAAGCCTTGAACTCAACGTATTTCTGCCTCAGCCTCTCAAGTAACTGAGATTATAGCCTTGGCTTGAAAAATTTCAAAATAAAAAGCTGAGGGAAAAAGTTAATTTCAGCACAAGCTCTTACCAAAACAAACAAATAGACAAATCAAAACAAAACAAAACTCCCAAACAAAGAAGACACAAGGGTTTATGTTTTGGTGGTAACCCAGGGAGAGGTGGTCACTGTAACAGAAGGAGTAGGTTCATGGTTATTCATTTTGGGTAAGAGGTTTGGCATGATGCCAAGTGGGAGCTTAGCTATTATTCTCTTAGGACTAAGGTTTAAAACGCCGGAGTGCTTCCAAGGGAAGGGTCCAGTGCCCCATTATGACCTATCTCCATCAGGCTGAAGCTTTAATTACAGCATCTCGGGAGCTCAGACTAGGCTGCCCTGGTGAATTCCCAATCAGAGCTTTGAGTCATCATGATAACTGCAGGACGGGCGCACACGCTTCGTTACTGGGCAGCCCAGATCCACGTTTCCAGGGATATCTGACACCCTCTGCCCTTTTGTTGCGGATGTGCCTCTTGGCTTTTCCACGCCAAAGCACAAACCAAGATTAGAGCAACATATACTTACGGGTAGGTTTTCCCAGATGGTGGTTGGGACCTGAAACGTAAGAGCGAGAATGCTGAGAACCATGAGCAGACACTGCCTTGGAAGAGAATACAGTTCGGGTAGAAATTTAAGTTAGCGCCAATGGATAACCTTCCTCTAACGAATGGGTACAATCTCGTGTGGTGTGTGTGTGTGTGTGTGTGTGTGTGTGTGTGTGTGTGCACGTTCAGGTGATAGCTTCATAAAACGACGTGCAAGTCAGAGTGCAAGCCTTTTGGAAAGAGGACCTGGAGCTGTCTCTCCTAGTGCATCGAAGGAAGAGGTAAAGCACAGGGACTGCTTCCGTGTTTAGGGGAGGAATGACGAAACGCAGGGGGAACAATTCTATGCTGGTGCACGGACCCATTCTTTTGAATTTAAAGTAGATTTCTGATCAGACCCACCCCTCTCGCTTTTGCTAAGCAGGATCCCCCAAGCTGCCTCATTGTGCCCTATGATTTGATTTGCTGTCCCAGGAAACTCTCCTGCCTCACCTCCGAGGAGGATTCAGCTATTCCCTGGCTGGTCAGTTGGCTCGCCCCACGCAGCTGGCTGCCCCCCTCAGACCTCACTGTGTCAGCCCAGGCTGCGACGTGGGGAATGGCTAAGAGCTTGCCAACTCAGGCAAACTTCGTCACCAGAGATGACTGAGGTTTTGGGGTTTCCCCAGCCCTCCCACGCCGGGCCACGTAGCAAGCAAGTGTTAAAGAGTGCCGCAACTCCACTCTGAGCTGCAGGGACCCGGGCGGAGGACCCGGTGCCCTCTGCACGCCAATGCTGCCAGCTGGGGGACAGCGAACGGAGCGCCGCGCTAGTTTTCGCCAGACGCTTTGTTTTCCTGCGGCAGAAACCCGAGGCAGGCTCTTTCCACCAGACTTGGCTGGCCCGCATCAGCGATAGCCATGGAAGTTGCTGCTGCGCAGGGCAGGACCCAGACGCTCCTCGCGGCTCTTTCTGTGGATGTTTTTCACCTACGTAGGTCACTCCTTTCTTCCTCCTTTGGGTAAGTGGAACCAGTCTGCAAATAAACAGCCCACCAAAGGGTAAGAACTGACTGTGATAGAAGCGGGCTGGGGTGGGGGGATGGGGATGGGAGCACACGGGTTAAAGTGCTGAGTACGGTGTTGGGGGGGGGCGTCTGGCATCTCAGCTTCGGAAGAATTACATTTAGTTTCGTGTCATTTGCAGGGTGGGTACTGGAGTTTCTTTACTTTTGTTCGACCCCCCCCCCCCATTAAACTTGTCTTTGACTACATTTTAAAGAGAATGAAGCTGGGGGTGAGAGGATACCCCAGAGGTGAGTGGCCTGTGAAAGCAGGAAGGAAGGAATCCAGTGATTCAGTAGAGAGATGTTCCTCCGTGCCCAGAGCAAGACTTTAACCCAACCAGCAACTCTACACTCAGTCTGTTCCCCAGGCCGGTAGGGTCTGCCTCAAGTGTCCCGGGCTCCCCATAACTGTCCCCATAATAACATGCTACTGGGTGGGGAGGTCCTTTGTTACCTAGAGGTCAAAACTCACTTCTAATGAAGACCTGCAACTTACTTTGTTCACGGGGATGCTCCGTGTTTGTTGATTGGCTGAAGGATAAAGCGTCAGAAGATGGCAGTCTGTTCAGAAGAGTGGGGCTTTGCGTAGTGATAGAATTCCTTCATGTTGACTCCGAATGCAGGGTAGGCTGGAGTGTTGGGTAATCCAGTATTTGGATCATCATCACTCCAAAGAACACATCTGGACCCTAAGGTTTTGGTATAGATACTCTGAGTCTTTGGGTCTGGGAAACCTGGGGTTTCCATCTCCCCTCTGCGGCCTTGGGGGTGTTTCTTTACAGAAGTTTTCACCTCTGTAAGGAGAGGTCAGGGAGAACATCCTCAGAGAGATGGAGGCTTCTGATGGAGGGAGAGAGGAGAGAAGGTGAAGTGCATTAAATAAACTGTCTCGCCTCCTCACCCTGGAGGGTTTTGGAGAGGCATGCTTCTCTGTGGATTCCTTGCTTATTCTAATGGAGATGGAGACAGGGCAGAGTGAGGCTTCAAAGTGCTTTGGCTTGGGTAAAGAATTCCTATCCACACCAGTGTCTCTGGGGCTCACAACTGTGAGATAGAAAAAAAAAATTCTATTTGCCTTATGTTTGTGCCTTGTTCATCCTCGAAGTCCAAGGAAGGGAAAGCATGGAAACAGCCAGGGGAGGCCGCTGTGATGCACCCCGGGATCCCATCCAAAGGGCTGGGGAAGCAGAGCAGCGCCTCACCGTGGTGCCAGCTTTCCTGGACCATGGTCTGCAGAGAACTCAAGGCTCCAGTTTGGCTGCTTGTGATTCAGTGACAAAGCACTTCCCACAGTGGCTCTCCTTAGAGCTGGCCCTGGGACATAAGAGGTGTGTGTGTGTGTGTGTTTTGCTGAGATGACCCAGACCTCTCACGATTTTCAAGGTGCCTTGAATGCCAGGCTAGCGTAGTGTTTTAAGACCACAGCTGGCAGACTTCACTTTCTCTTCCCTAAGTTAAGTCAGTAAAAATCCATCGGACCTCCTGGCACTAGCTCTCTGAAGGAAAGGTCCACTTCAGTCTTGTTCTTTGCCCGGTGGCTGGCATCTGGCACCGTGCTGGTAAACAGAAGGGCTTTGGTATGTGTGTGCTGGATGAACAATGGATCTTAGTAATCTTTCTTATAGACAAGGGGACTGGGTTGAACTTCCTATCGAAGACCACAGCATGCTAATCGCACCTTCCTTTAGCAAGCATTAAGCTTCCTTTAGCACACATCATCATTGCTTTGAGTATCTACTATGTGCAAAATTCTGTTGCCAGGCACGTCCGGGAAGTTGTAGGCAGAATTTATGTGGATACTTGGTGGCTCTTTCAGGATCACCCCAGCACCGTTGGCCTTTTGTGGAAATTTACACTTTATCATTAACCCACGTAGGGTTCCAGGATAGGGAGAGTCGGGGCGGGGCATTGCTCTAACTCTGTGAGAACATGGCTGAGGTCTTCCTGCACCCACACCGTTAGTACCTATTCTCAAGGGCTTCCGGAACCACCTCGTTGGCTTCCCAGAGTCGCCAAGACTTATTTAGTGACTCTGTTTTCCTCCAGGGCCTCAGCCACCTCTCCCCAGCTCATCTCCCTAGCCTCCAAGCCCGAGCCCCAGTCAGGCTACAGGTAGCTGGGGAAGAGACCAAGCTGTGCCTGGGGAACTGCTAGGCGCGGTGAGATCGCAGCAGACGCCAGGCAGTCCCCAGAACAAAAGGCTCATGGCTGGTAATAGCCTCCTCCATTCTGCAGCGCAGTGGGGACGTGGGTTCGGGACTCGGGCGAGAGAGGACCACCCTGGGGAGCGGGGAGCGGAGTACCAAAAATGAACTGACAAGAGAGAAGGAGCAGGCAACCCGGCTTGGGAGCGGTGAAAGGAGGTCACCCCCCCAAGGCCGAGGTCTGCGGTGGGGCCGCGGCAGGCCCTTTCCTCCGCCTCCTGCGGAGCCTTCCAGGCAGCCAAGCGTGTCTCCGGCGGCTGCAACTCCAGCGAGCACGCTGCGGCCGCGCCAGTAAGTAGCAGCCGCGCCCTCCGCTCGCTGTCGCTGCGCTGCCCGGGGGGAGGGGAGGAGGACAGGTCCGCCACCTCCCAGCGTCGAGACCCGGGCGTCCGGGATCCACGCGTACTCCGCGCTCTCCCGCAGTGGCGCGGCACCTGCAGCGCGCCACGGGGAGGGTCTCCTTGGCCGCCGGCTCCCCGGGGCGCCGCGCCACCCTTCCGTCCAATGGCTTTCAGAGGGTGGGGAGTGGGGGGCGTCGCCCGGGGGGCGAGGAGCCGCGGCTGGGGTGGGGCGAACGCTCGGTGCTCAGCTAGGCTGACGTGCCCGCCCGAGCGCGCGCGGCCGGCTGTGTGCGCGCCTGTGTGTGTGTTTCATGTGTGAGTGTGCGCGAGAGAGGGGGTACGAACACGCCTTTGGGGACCCGAGGGACGCTGCAGTGGGTTTCTCTCCGGCTTCGGCCAGGCGGCTGCTCAGTCTCGCATCTGCCCACCGCGCTTCTGCAGAAGCAGCCGGGCTCCTTCATCTTCTGGGAATCACCCTCAGCATCCAACCTGACTTTTTCTTTCGCCCACAAGGGCAGCAGCTCGCCATCCCCTTAACCCGTGCAAACACCCAAGCCAGGGCTCAGTGCTTTCCTCAGCTAGGAATTCCCCGCTTGTCTTTCTCCGGGCGCTCCCCGAGAGCCACTCCAACGAGCCTCCACCCTTACAAATCGTTCTGTTGCTCTGTTTAACCGACGAGTTGTAAATCCCGAAGACTTTATTATTATTATTTTGATTCATTTTATTTCACCCCCCTCCCACCCCCTGTGGGCAACGGAGCAATGAAATTTCCAATCGAGACGCCAAGAAAGCAGGTGAACTGGGATCCTAAAGGTTGGTATTGCCTCTTCTGGGCTACCCTGGCGCTCCTCCACCTGCAGGTGCCTCGCTGGCAGGAACGGATGGGCTTGCTCGGGGCAGCTCAGCGTCCTGAGGCTGGGAGATGCGCCTGGCAACTGCAGCGTGGGTGGGAGGAGGGCGGAGGCAGCGTGGGTTTGGAACCCAGAACGCGCCTGTCAAGATCACATAATTGTTGCCCCTCCAGGATGGTTTCACCGTCTATTTAAAGAGACCCCAAGCTGCTGTTTGTTTTGAAATGGCACCAAGTGTTGGTATTTGCTTTTTGACTTTGTGAGTGTGCCCGTGTGCCTGTGTGTGCGTGTGTCCTTTGTTCCTAGTGATCTTTGTCTCTCTGGCAGATGGGTGGGGTGCCTCTCCCTGGACCCGGAGCTGCGCTGCATGGCCCTGGTGTCCTCAGAGGGACAGGTTTCTTGGCAGCATGCGAGGCCGCGAGCTGCAGCCGCTGTCCCTGGGGTAGGGCATGCAGCACACCGGAGCCCACGGGGCCTCCAGAGTTTTCTCTGTCTCATTGCTAATCCTGCCAGCTAGTTTGGCTCAGGTTGTAGAAGAGGTGTGGGGAACGGTTTTCCTCCACAGTGCTGAATCTGGGAAGGGCTCACTGGAGTGACCTCAGTGTGCCCACTCACTAGATGGTGGGGTATACTTTTAAAAATGTGGGGTCACTTTCCCTTCCTGTAAAAGGGTTTAAGGAAGGTGTGTGTGTGTGTGTGTGTGTGTGTGTGTGTGTGTGCCGTACCCCTAGCCTTGGCCATCACCTCTGATGTTAATGGACAGATATTATGGCTCTTAGTGACCAGTGTGGGAGTGGGGTAAGTTGAAACCATGTCACCCCTTAGCTCATATACAGGCTGCATTGGCATAGGCGGTGCTTAAGTGGGTCTTGGGGATAAAAATTTGTGTGTGTGTGTGTGTGTTTGATTAAATTTCTTCTTGTAGAGAGTATAATTTTATTCAGTCTTTGACAGTTTCATACAGGGCATCTTGATCATATCTAATTCCCACTCAGTTCTTCCGTTTAAATTTCTTTATGACTACATTTCTTCTCTTCCCCGCACTGGAATGAGGAAAGCAAGTTATTCGCAGAGTGGATGTCTTATGAATTAACTGTCTGAAGAGTGAGTGAAGAGATATTGCCCTTCGTTTCGCAGACACCTTCAGTGCAGCTTCCGGTCCTGGAAATAAAGTCAGAACAAGACAGACAAAATATGTGTCTTCTTGGAGTTCACATATCGGTGTCAGGTCAGAATTAATCACTGCGGGGAGAGTTGGTAATTAAAAGTGTAACATGTGATGTGAGCGATGTGAGCACCATGAGGCTTTAGGAAAGTCTGAAAGGATTGAAGCTGGGCGTGGTGGCTCACGCCTGTAATGCCAGCAACTGGGAGCCTGGGGCAGGATTTCTAGTAGTCTGAGGGTAGCATGAGGTTACACGGTAAGTTCCAAGACAACCTGGCTTCTCCCCTGTCTGAACTAGCACAAAGCAGATTGTCACAGGCCACAGAGAGGGTTGATGAGGACGTTTTCATGAGGGAATGACACCTGTACTGTACTGACACCAGGAGAGGGCGTTACCTGGCCAGTGGGAAGGGGATCCGCCTTCCCAGGAGGAAACAGCAGGGCAAAGGTCACAGAGCAGAAGGAATGGGTGTGCATTTGAGGAGCTGGCAGTAGCATCCCATGCCTAGAGGAGAAAGTAAGGAAGGCGTGCTATGGGGTGTGGCTGGAGGTCTGCAGGCTCCGACTCCAAAGCCCTGGTGTTTTGGTGCTGATGAAGTCATGTTTGGGACCAAGGAGGAAAAAGGGTCTTTATTTTAAGCCTCGAAGAGGCTCAAGCTGGAGTTACATGATCTGAGCTAAGTTTCAAAACCATTGCAACGGTGGAGACAGATACGATGGTGCACTGGCCAAGACAGTAGCCTCGGGGATGGAGATGTGGTGGATCAAGTAGCTACCTGAAATCAACAAGATTTGTGAAAGAAGCAGCCAGGTGGAACTTCCGAAGGACTAAGGTGTGACTGGGCCAGGCCTGCTGGGGAAAAAGGAGTATGCTTTAGGGTGAGACATCCCCATAAGACAGCAGTTGGCAGCGGATGGGGTAGATGGCTTTTAGAATTCAGGTAGGAGCAACAAGGGACTGTCTTCCTGATGCTGGCTTTGGCTCTGAAAACTTCTTTCTGTAATATCCTCTTGTGTCCCAGTGACAAGTGCTTTTCACGAATTTCCCGTGTCTCACAGCCTAGTACAAAGAAGAGCCTACAAGTAGCTTCTACAGTTACAATTACTGCTAAAAATAAACACCTCAGTAAAAATAACAGCATTTCCTGAGCCAGCCCAGTGCGCCAGGTGCCTCAAGTCCATTATTTTGTTCACGTATTCTCACAATTTTAATTAAAAATTTTAGTTAGCATATGAAGAATGTGTTTGATGATGTCATCTTCATTCACACATATTATATTTTGTTCATATTCATATCTTCCACCCTCACCATCTAATCCACCCCTCTTCCTCCCTTTCACTGGTCCCCTGCTGGTTTGCTTTCATTGTTTTATTTCCATTATTTCAAAAATTTCATTTTGTTTTACGTGTATGGGTGTTTTGCCTGTGTATATCTCTGTACCACAAGCATGTAGTATCCATGAAGGCCGGAAGTAGGCATGCAATCTCCCTTGGAACTGGAGTTACAGATGATTATGCAGTTGCCATGTGTGCTGGGAATTGAACCTGGGCTCTCTGGAAGAGCAGTAGGTCTTCTCCAGCATTAATTCTTACAATTCTTATGTGATAGTATGTCACTGTCCCATTTGTCCTTAACTTGTCACCAGGGCACTGTGAAGTTGTCTTCCCTGAAGTGATCTGGCTCACAGCTTTTGTTTCTGAAAGTGTCGGTGACCAGAGTCTGGCTGAGAGGCAGGAGGAAAGTGGGCCTATTTTAGAATTGGGTACCTGACATGTGTCCAACTCTTCACACACATTTAATTTCCTTAATGTTGACAAAAATGTTAGGAAAGTGTTGTTCTACTTTGAAAAACAAGGGAACCGAGGAATAGAGAGGCCAAGTAAGTTGCTCAAAGTTGACACAGTGGGACGGGGTAAGAATCTGGACTCCTAAGCATTCTTTTAGCCTGTGTCCCATCAACTGTTGGGACATCTGACTCTTGCTTGGTGAGTCTTCCAACTTCCAATGCTGAGGGACAGCCAAATCTTACTGGAAGGAGGTGAAAGAGAAGGAAGAGGGAGAAGCATTTGAAGAGACGGGGTATGTATTCTGAGTCACCAGAATCATTTAGTGATCTTTCCTTGCCTAGTTGGGATTTACTTGCTGTTTCAGCGTGTTGAAGGCTTTTAAGTTCCAGAAACATCAATGCAGAATGTTCTCATGGCTTGAAGCAAGCGGATCAATATAGTGGAGAAAACTAAAGATTTGAGGTGGGGGGATAGGAAAGAATTAGGTTCTGGCGCTAGCTGTAACAGTTACTGTGTGACTTCAGGCTATTCATTTAGCTTCTCTGGGCCCTACTTTCTTTCCACATAGAAGGCAGTCACTGATATTATCTTTATATACCACGTACCTGTGCACTCTCCGTGTGCCTCTCTGTATTGTCTATTCATACTACTCTCCCTGTTCTGATCTTTGGGTACTTGAGGGAGTGGCTTATATTTCTCCTCTTCCCCCCCCCCTTTTTCAGTAAATAAAGCATGTTGCTTTTGTCAAGGGGCTTTTTGCATTTATACTTTGAGCTGCCTGTGATGAACAGTCACACACTTGGCTCCTTTCCACCCCTTGGATCTTCTTTGAAAGGACTTTCCTGCCTTGTTTGAAGAATCCAGTTTCCCATCTCTGTCAGGTTCTAGAATGTGTCATCTTGACATCTTCCTGGTACTTGTTGCAATCTGGAAACCTCTTACTTACATATCATATTTGATGGGCCTCCATTACAAGCATGTTAGCTTCAGGAGCCGTCAATTCCCTGTCTTCTTCATTATGGCACTCCAGTGCCACAGGAAGCACCCGGCTAACCTTAGTCATTCATGAACTCATTGTTTAATGATGAACTTGGTTGATAAATGGGTGGATAGATGACTGGGTGGAGAGAGGAAGACAGGAGTGTATTAAGAAGGAGGGAAGCTAGGTGGAGGGATAGATGGAAAGATTGATGTCTGCATAGGAAAATAAACAGGTGAATGGAGGGATTGGAGGTATCCAAGGCTCTGTACATCATGAAATTCTAGACTCCTCAAAGCTACAAACCACAAAGTACGAATCAGGCTAGATGAAGACTGTCTTCAGTAAAGGGCCCAGAACAGACATCCATAATCCCATTTCTTTCCCCATTTCCAAGCCTGTAGCATGCTGCTTTCCTCTCCCCCTTTCTCCCGGAATGAAAGGCTGTGTGAGTAGGAGGTAGCGATGCCAGACGGGTGTGTCTAGCCAGACAAAGATCTGGTCAGTTTTCAGCTAATAACGATCTGTGGCTATTTTCAGGCACTTTAATACACTTAAGAAATAAATAAAGCCTCAGAACTGGAACTGGGTTCTTTAAAAAGCTGCACTTTCATTGTAGAGTTCCAGAAAAACCTTCACCTTTTGTGTAGCAGTTTTCAGTTTACAGAACACTTTTTTACAAATGATGTCATTTATTCTTCAAGCAACTATTTTTTTTTTTGCAGATATTAGAGTTGTAGTCTTACTGCTGGGAAAGTTAGGATGTAGAAAAAGGATGAACAACTTATTTGGGACCCTTCAAACTTCAAATAAATAGAGCAGAGGCTGACTGGGACCACTGACTGCCTCTATCCATAGCATTTCTTTCACACCTTCTTTCCCCCCAAGGTCTTTATTCCTTCTAAGGTCACCCCACTTCCTACTCAACACTATACTCTCAAGTCTCTTTGAGAGAGGTGTGGGTGGCCAGTGGGTCTTCAGCTGTGAGCTGTTTCAGCAACTTGCACAGGCTGACATACATGTTATCCCA